TTTGTTTTTGTGTAGGTAAACCCTTTTGAAACACCTCAGCATTTATTTTAAATGCTTATTCTTTGTTTGTTTATTGAGGGATTTAACAATATTTGTTTTGTTAGAATGAAGCCTTGTTTGCAGGCAGACCATTTTTTAAAAATTGACATTTTTTAGACATTTTTGTCAAGAAATGGTACACAATTACTGTGTGTATACAGTTGAACAACTTTGTCTGATGTATAGTAAGTTTATTAACCTACTTGGAAATGCCTGTCACAGTGTCAAGTAATGTTCCAGCACACAAAATGTATTTCAGGAAATTATTCATTGAGAATGTAGAGCTGCATTGTATTCTATAGAACTGCTGCTGTGCACATGAGTTTGTTGCTGCTGATTAAAAAAAAATCTCTACTTATGCACTACTGATACCTTGTTGAAGTGTTGCCCTTGCTGTAAATCTTTGATTATACAGGTTCTGTGTAAGCTTTATCTGCAGTGATTTTGTTTGCAACAATTTCCTTTGTAAATTATATAACATGTTTGTCCAATAGCCTGTTCTTCACTCAACCCATATGAGTCCTTTAATACAATGTACTGTATTTCACTACACAATTCATTGCTGTCTGGTTCCCTAAGTTTTTTTTTGCATAGGAGAGAGTTCACCTGTACATAGAGCAAAGCTTGAACTATATTCCAGCACTTCATACTACTATGAGCATTCAAGTTTGTAATACAGTATTCAAAAACAAATAAGTTTGGGAACTGGAAAACATAAGAAAGTGTGTTTTTGAGCCATGGACTTTTTGTATCAATATTTTAACAAATTAACAAAACACATTTCAAGAAACATTATCCATAAGTACATCTGGACATTGCCAATGTATACAGTCTATAATAACAATTGATCAGTAAACTTTCCAAGTTCAAATGATGGATGGAGGGAGATTATTTCACAACCTGGATTAATTGATAGCATATATACACATTCAAACATCAAGAAGCAGCTAGAGTCCCACTGTGTATACACACAATAAATGTATCTGGAATGTAATATTTTAAAGACACAGACAGGAATTCCTGTACCATAAATACAGGTTGACTCCGACTACAACAAATTTTTCTGCAATGATTTTTCTCTGCTTAACACTTTTTTCTTTGGTCCCAAAGAGTTATCTTCCCATGTTATATATGTTTCCTGCAACATTTTTTTCTGATGCCTTGAAATTTGTTTGAGAGAGAAAAAAGCATTTGTATATCATCTGGAGTAAACTCTCCACAACTGTCCAGAACATCTGATATGTGAATAGTATCTGACTATAGATGCAAAACTTTCCTCTGACCAATCCAGGAAGTGGTCAGAAATTTACAAATGGTGGACTTTCTCTATAAAATAGTATTCAATGAGGGACCAGATGAATATTCATTGTAGGGTCAATTTATTTATTGCAGAGATAATTTATTTATTGTAGAGATAATTTATTTATTGTAGAGATAATTTATTTATTTTAGAGATAATTTATTTATTGTAGAGATAAATTATTTATTGTAGATAATTTATTTATTGTAGAGATAATTTATTTATTTTAGAGATAATTTATTTATTTTAGAGATAATTTATTTGTTGTAGAGATAATTTATTTATTGTAAAGATAATTTATTTATTGTAGAGATAATTTATTTATTGCAGAGATTATTTATTTATTGTAAAGATAATTTATTTATTGTAAAGATAATTTATTTATTGTAGCTGTAATTTATGTATTGTGGTGAGAACCTACTCATTGTAGAGAGAATTCATTAATTGCAGACATTATTTATTTATTGTGGAGAAATCTTATGACATGGAAGCCATATAGGAAGATTATATATATAGGACCCAATACTGAGTGTTATTCAGAAATGGCTATATAGAGAGAGAGAGAGAGCCCACCTGTATTACTCATCTCCAAAAGTTGATTTTTCCACAGCATAAAAATTATTTATACAGTACAAAGCATTTCCCTTAAAAACTGTGCTTTAAATTATGTTGAGAACAATGAATAATGCTGATAATGTACAATACAGTCCATTTCAAAAAATCTCCAGAATTGACCCACACACACACACACAATAAATTGGGTTGCTCAGTTGGATGGGATCCCTGCCAACATGGTCCCCAATATTAAACCTGATGGTAGTTGGTCTCACAACAGCAGCAGCAGCAGACACGCCAATATATATGGACCAGGTCTTTCTGCAACCCCCAGCAGAGAGAGAAAGAGAGAGAGAAAGAAGACAGAGGAATGTCGTGTACATGTATAATACCAAAGAGCAGGGAGGGGTACATGCTGAAGAGGGAGGGTCGTATATATACGCCATCGAATCGACCTCGAACAGGGTCACTTTCCGACCCGTGATGCCCTCGTTTTCCGGGCGTATGTGTGTGCATAAATGCTGCAACGCGAATCGAACAGTACAGTACCTCCTTATATACTGTATACAGTATGGCTTATTGTATACGTAGCTGAGCTGCATAGTGACCTGATGTCTCAGTCTGTGGTCCAACATGGCCTCGTGAGGTCGAATACAGCAGTACTGTGCAGTTTTTGTCATGTCAGTTGAACCTCTCTTTCAAGTTGAATTTTGAAAGACCAGCAAAAAAAAAATTTAGTTAACTATAGGTTTCAAGTTACTAGGCAAACAAGCATTTCTTGTTGGGGGAAAGAAAGAATGAGAAGTACAGGAAATTGTAATTGGTGATATTCTGGGCCTCAAATTGCCTCTTGAGTGAGTTGAAAAGATGAATGAGTTAAGAATTATTTCTGAAGTTATGAGGCAGGTTCTTCAATTGTACCCAATATACCATGTACATAGTGCTGTCAAACATCTTCAAGTACAATTTCCAAGGGAGACAATTGCAAAATTTGCATTTGGGAGGTTTCCTGTTGGGGAAAGAAAGAATAAGAATTACAGGAAATTGTAATTGGTGATATTCTGGGCCTCAAATTGCATCTTGAGTGAGTTGAAAAGATAAATGAGTTAAGAATTATTTCTGAAGTTATGAGGCAGGTTCTTCAATTGTACACAATATTCCCATATATTTAGTGCTGTCAAACATCTTAAAGTACAATTTCCAAGGAATAAAATTGATAAATTTGAGTCAGGGAGGTTTCCTGTTGGGGAAAGTAAAGCATAATCACAGCCAATTGTACCTGGTGATATTCTGAACCTCAAATTGGCCCTTGAAGGAGTTGCCAAGATGAATTAGTTCAGAATTGCTGGAGGTATGTTCTTAAATTGGACACAATATGTACCATATAGTGCTGTAAAAACCTCTTCAAGTGCAATGTTCAAGTGAGGCAATCAAAAAATTCCAGTTGAAGAGGTTTCCAGTCAGGGAAACAAACATTTACATTGGGGGAAGAAAAGCAACATTAAAAGAAATTGTAATTGGTGATATTCTGGGCCTCAAATTGCCTCTTACATGAGTTGACAATAGATGCTGAATTTTTGGGCAAAGGTTAATTCTCCCAATTAGTCTGTATCACTTCCTTGCAGAACATGTCAAGTTACATTTTTATTGATTTTCTCTTTCCTGTGTCAATAAAATACCAGCCAAAAGGCCTCCAGAAAGTGTGAGTCATGCAGTTTGAGAGGGAGAGCCTTTGAATTAGGAAGGTTTTCAATGCATTGTTTCCAAGGGAATTCCAAAAGCAGCATGAAAAAAATACCAAAGGGAGTTATTTGACTTGGAGAGGTTTGCATGAGTTATTGAGGTTCAGCTGAATGAAAGAATTATTTAATGCAATACAATAATACAGTACATATCTTAGAATGTGCTGCTGGATTAAAGCTTGCAAGATTTTAAAAAATCATAATACAGTATAATCACCTCATAATGTTTTGTAAACCCTAATAAAGAAAAATGGTTCTGAAGTATTGGTTTTCAGTATTACATTTGCATTTATAACTGGTGAATTATTTTGATCATTAGTCAATAAATCTTTAAATGTGTTTCATTCAGTGGCTTAAAAGCCATGTTGTGATTCATTATAGTAACTTTGCCTGCCTAAGTGCTTGGGGCATTCTGTGACTATTAACATTATTCAGTGCTTGAAAAACTGTAAAGGTCTTGTACATTTAAGCGGTTGTTATTGATAAAAACTTCTGGATATCATATTTTGATTTCAAGTGGAAAACCCAAGAAAAAAGATCCAAAATTTGAGAATGCTGATGTTGTCTAAAAATGAGAATCACATCCTATTATGCTTGTGGGGTTCTTCCCTGGATAATTCAGGTGAATAAGAACAATAAAACCCTCCCTAAATGGTTCCATCAACTAAACCTTATCTGGGAGCAGGCTGAATACCTTGCACTTAAATTTGGATTCAGTAATTTCCTTCTGCAGCAATTCTTATTACTGACATTTTTTTTATTGGGGAAGGGAAGAAGGTTTAGGTATTTGCCTCAGTTGTCCATATTGGGATACATTTTCTTTTCTTTTAATATCCACATGCAGCTTATTTCTCTGTGTTCCATTGTGATGTGATGGAATGTGTTTGGATGAATGTGGGTTGGGAGGGGGGAGGGTTGAATGTGTCAATATTGCTTGAACCTCATGCATTTTGAAAAGCAAAAAAAAAAGCTTTCTGTTCAATTCAAAATGAAAGCCTGAAGTGGATGTGCATTGACATTAACTCATCAAAAGTTTGAATGGCAATTTTTAAAATGGAAAGGGAATGCAAGAGAAGAGGTCAGTAAGTGAGTCATTCAATACAAGTCTAAAATTGTTCAGAATGACAATTTCCATTTATTTTGAGTCAAAAGAGAACTGAGAAAATGTGCGCCAGTCAGAAGGAAAATTAGAACTTTTTGAATGAAAAAATGAATAAAATATTCAAGCAAATGCCAGTGGTGATTTTTTCCAAATTTGATCAAGATTTTCACCAAATGTCAAAAGTGTTCAGCACCAAATTCTCTGCGAAACTTTTTTATTCTCACCTTTTCAAATTGTTGAGGGAACCTTTCTAATTTCTTCCAGGAAAATATTTGTGAAAAAACAACAATTTGGCTGTTTATTGCGGAACTGGAGCTATTATTGCAACGAAAAGAGCTATTTTTTGGAAGAGAGCTTAGAAAATTTTCAATATAAAAAAGCATGGATGATGACGGTGAAATAACCCCACTTTTTGTAAAAGTTAGTTTACCGCCTGGACTGGAACAATGCCTGGAGGATTTCACTTTGGAAGTTTTGAAGAAAAAACCAGTAAACTTGAAAATTTTTGCCCAGCAACACTTTGACAAAAGAGTTCAAGACACTGGAGGTGAGTCTCTAATATAATATTACTTTGAAACTTGACAAAATTGATAAAATTTCAAGTTAGAAAGAATTGGATTGAATTTTTTTTTAATTTGGGAATTCAGTGGAAATGTTTATCAAGTGGAGTTTCTTGACTTTGGCAGAACCAAATGCTGTAATTTTTTTTGGACAACCATGAATTCAAATTTTCAATACTGTACTTGACAAACTTGAAAGTTACAAAGAATTAAATTCACTTTGACTTTTAAATTAATTTTCTGGGATTCATTGGAAGTTTTAGTTAAATATGTAGGTTCTTGACTTTGGCAGAACCAACTGCTGTAATTTTTCTTGGACAAACATGAATTCAAATTTTCAATACTTGACAATAAAACTATACATTTCTTTCCTTTTTCATGCAGGCTGTCCTTGCACCAACACCAGGGACAAACACACAGCCTCAAAGCACAAACGCCCCAAATACAGGGCATCCAGGAGCATTGAAGACACTGATTTACAATCCAGTGGTCAACAAGATGGCATTGGGAAAATTGCTGGGGTTGCCAAAATGCCAAGACCCTCTTACGGAGTCTACGGACGCCGGCAAATTCAGCGTGAAACCAAGCCACTAGGTATAGTTGACATTGGCAGCAGTTTGCCAGAGTCTTCTGCAGAAGATGTCATCAGCAAAACCATCAAGGAAGGCAAGAACAAGACAAAGCGGTATAAATTGGGGAAGAAAAAGAGTGATAGTCTTGGATCTACTATGGCCTTTGGGGTAGCTGGTGCAGCAGGTGCTGCAGGGGTTGCAGGAGGAGTGGGTTACATTGTTGGGCAAGGGTTTGGTGAGAATGAGGCCCCTGCTGCAGAAGAAACTGAAGGAGAAGCTGATAAGATCATAGCTCTGGATGAGGATGACAATAAAGCAGATGATGCTGAAACTGAAGACCAGCAGACAGGTGATGCAATGAGATTTTGTTTCTGAAACCTTACTACAATTATTTTATTACAATATGTACTTTTGAAAAGGGTCCCCAACAGTTTGTTTTCAGAGGAACCATTTTTGTTATAACACATTATGTCCTAATCTTTTTGGGCCTGCAGAAGTTTCTTAAAATGTTTGCAGACTCAAAAAAGAAAACTTTTGTTTCAAAGCCTTTATGGCATGTATTTGAAAAATTTCTGTTTTTTCCTTATTCAAAAATTAAGTCAAGAACCAACAAAGCAGCTATAGTAGAATGTCTTCAAGAAATTGGAAAGCTGGGCTTGAAGAAAGGTTTTTGATTGGAATGAAAAATTGAAATAGTTTATTTCAGAAGGGGAAAATATGCCTGAAGTGTTATAATTATAGGATAAAAGCCAACTTTTGTTTTTAATCAGATATTTTAAGCTGCCATTGTCTTTCTGAAATTGCACACAGACTTCATTGCTACTTTTTATAAATTCTACATGTTGAAGAAAATTTTCTGCTACAGACTGGCAAAATAACTTCTGCAAACTGGCACTGGTCCATGGACCACAAATAGGGGAACACCGTTACAACATAAATTCTTCTTAAATATGCATGTCACTTGGAAAAAATGTGCAGGATACAAAATTTCAATACCATCTCTGTTTGATTGTCAGTACAGTACAGTATACTTCACTGAAAATGTTTACAGCATTTTGAAGACATTTATTGAAGCTGAATGTGGACATAATGAATATTAGGCATGTTTGAAAAGTTTTAGAACAGCTTGCTACCATTGCATACATATTTGGCCCAGTTCAAGGCTCATCATTTTTCACAGAATGCTTGCCCAAGTGGGGAGCTATTTTTGCTGTGAGCCCACAGTAGGTGCACACCAGGGTTGTCTTGGATCTACTATGGCCTTTGGGGTAGCTGGTGCAGCAGGTGCTGCAGGGGTTGCAGGAGGAGTGGGTTACATTGTTGGGCAAGGGTTTGGTGAGAATGAGGCCCCTGCTGCAGAAGAAACTGAAGGAGAAGCTGATAAGATCATAGCTCTGGATGAGGATGACAATAAAGCAGATGATGCTGAAACTGAAGACCAGCAGACAGGTGATGCAATGATATTTTGTTTCTGAAACCTTACTACAATTATTTTATTACAATATGTACTTTTTGACAAGGGTCCCCAACAGTTGTTTTCAGGGGAACCATTTTTGTTATAACACAGTATGTCCTAATCTTTTTGGGCCTGCAGAAGTTTCATAAAATGTTTGCAGACTCAAAAAAGAAAACTTTTGTTTCAAAGCCTTTATGGCATGCATTTGAAAATGTCCTGTTTTTTTCTTCTTCAAAAATTAAGTCAAGAACCAATGAAGCAGCTGAAGTAGAATGGCTTGAAGAAATTGGAAAGCTGGGCTTGAAGAAAGGTTTTTGATTGGAATGAAAAATTGAAATGGTTTATTTCAGAAGGGGAAAATTTACCTGAAGTGTTATTACTGTATAGGATAAAAGCCAACTTTTGTTTTTCATCAAATATTTTAAGCTGCCATTGTCTTTCTGAAATTGCACACAGACTTCATTGCTACTTTTTATAAATTCTATATGCTGAAGAAAATTGTCTGTTACAGACTGGCAAAATAACTTCTGCAAACTGGTTTTGGTCCATGGACCACAAATAGGGGAACACTGTTACAACATAAAACTTTTTTAAATATGCATGTCACTTGGCAAAAATGTGCACGATACAAAATTTCAAATTTCAATACCATCTGTGTGTTCGATTGTCAGTACAGTACAGTACTTCACTGAAAATTTTTATAGTATTTTGAAGACATTTATTGAAGCTGAATGTGGACATGATGAAATAACTAGGTATGTTTGAAAAGTTTTAAAACAGCTTTCTACCAGTATTGCATACTTATTTGGCCCAGTTCAAGGTTCATTATTTTTCACAGAATGCTTGCCCGAGTGGGGAGCTATTTTTGCTGTGACCCCACAGTAGGTGCACACCATGGTGCATATGGGATATTCTGGGGTTACAAGTGTGCACTCCTGTAGAGGAAATTTTGCTACCATTCCAGGGCTACACTTGGTGCCCAAATGTGACATAACAGGAGTATCACACAAATGTATACCAACTGTAACCTTGGTGTAACTTGTTTGTTTAAAAATGTGACCCTGCTGAGTAATCATGGTGTAAACACACAATTGGTGCACATTAGGGATATGCATGTGCAACAGAAGAAATTTGGTACACTTCAGGTGCACAGCAGGGTCACTGTGTAGAATTACAAACATATCCCCAGTGTGCCCCAATTTCCCCACTTGGGTGGTTTTGTGTGTTAAACAGGTTGTTTTCAATTGGAGGATGCCATTCCATTGTATATATGTAAATCCATTGTTTGAGGTACTTCTGCTGTACTGTATAATATATCCTAATCATTCTCATTTTGTAGGCAATGATGCTGAGGCAGCAGAGACTGGAGAAGAAGCAGCAGAAGAAGAACCCACAGAAGAAACTGAAGACCAGTTTGCTCAAGAAGAAGAAAGTGCTCCTGTAGCAGAAGAAAATGATGAAGAAGCTGCCCAATTAGAGTCAACAGAAAATGATGCTCTGATGGAAGATTCTGAACCAGGTAAATCCATTCCTGAGGCCAAAGTATATTTAATGGAAACACCTGCACAAATTTTAAAATTTAAATGTTGAAATATTGAAAAACTAAAATGATAATTTTAAAAGCTGCTGCAGAGGATGATGCACAACTTGAAGAGCAACCTGCAGAGGATGAACCAGTAGCAGATGAGGAAACACCTGCTGATGAAAATGCAGATGAAACAATGAATGCTGAGGAGGATCCTGCACCAGAAGAAGATCCTCACCCTGATGATGAAGAGGCAGCAGGTGAAGATGAGGGAGCAGCTGAAGTGGATTCTGCAGTTGAAGAACAACCAGCTGATGATGAAGCAGCAGCAGGAGAAGAAGAAGCTCCACAGGATGAGGATGCAGCAGCAGACACAGCACCAGAGGTTGAAGAACAACAACTAGCTGATGAGGAACCTCAAGCAGAAGAAGATGGAGTAAATGAAGATGAAACTGCAATGGATGAGCCAGCAGCTGAAGAAGAACCAGATGCTGAAGAAGTGGAGCCAGCACCTGCTGAAGCTGAACAACCAAGTGAAGAAGAATTTCAAGCTCTAGAAGCAACGCCACCTGAGCAAGATGAAACTACAAATCAGGATGAAGTAGAAGCAGTTGAAGATGAACCTGCAGAAGCAGATGAACCAACTCTTGAGGAAGATGCACCAGCTGAAGAAGAAGCAGTACCTGAAGAAGATGCACCAGCATCTGAAGAATCAACAGCCATTGAAGAAGAAGCAGCAATTGAGGAAGATGCTCCTCCTGAAGGAGATGTAGCAACTGAAGAAGAAGCACCACCTGAAGAAGAAGCACCACCTGAAGAAGAAGAAGCACCACCTGAAGAAGAAGCAGCAGCAACTGAAGAAGAAGCACCACCTGGAGAAGAAGCTGCAACTGAAGAAGAAGCTGCAGCAACTGAAGAAGAAGCTGCAACTGAAGAAGAAAAACTTCCTGAAGAAGAAGCTGCAACTGAAGAAGAAGCCCCACCTGAAGAAGAAGCCCGAATTATAGAAGTAGTAGCAGAGGATGAAGGAGCTGCACAAGAAGATGAAGCAGCAAATGAAGATGGACCAGCAAATGTAGAAGATGCAGAAACTGCAGAGGAACCACCAGCAGATGAGCCAGAACCACCAACAGTTGAAGAAGAAGCTACACAAGAGGATGATGCTGCAGGAGATGAAGAACCTGTAGAGCCTGAAGAAGTATCACAAGCAGCTGCTGAAGAGGAACCTGCATCTGAAGAACCACCACCTGAGGAAGATGGGCCAGCTGAAGAAGAACCACAAGCTTTAGAGGAATCTGAACTAGTGGGTGACGATGCTGCACCAGAGGATGACCTCACAGCTGAAGCAGAACCATCCAATGAAGAAGAAGTAGCAGCTGAAGAACCACTCAATAATGAAGAAGATACCCCAGCTGATGAAAATGAAGCAGCAGTTGAAGAAGATGCCCCAGCTGAAGAAGAACCTGCCCCAGACAATGAACCAGCCTCTGAAGATGTACCAGATGAAGAAGAGGCAGCAGCTGAAGAACCCCCAGCAGAAGTTGACCTAGAAGCTGAAGAGACACTTGAAGAGGAGCCACCAGCTGAAGAGCCACAGGATTTAGTTGAAGCAGAACCAGAGGCTGAAGATATTGCTCAAGAAGATGACACTGAAGCTGCAGCAGAACCAGATGAAGAGGAACAAGCACCTGAAGAAGAAAGCGTACCAGAGGAGGAGCCAACACCAGAAGAGGAACCAGCGCTAGTTGATGAAGAACCACCAGCTGAAGAAGAGGCAAGCCCAGCTGAAGAAGCACCTGAAGAGGATGCAGCTGTTGATGAAATGCCAGCTGAAGCAGCACCTGATGAGGAACCATCAGCTGAGGAAGAACCACAAGCATTATCAATAGAGGATGCAGAAGCTGCACCAGAGAATGAAGCTGCTGTTGAAGAAGAAGCCGCCCCTGAGGAGGAAGCAGCACCTGGAGAAGAAGCAGAACCTGGAGAAGAAGCTCCTGAGGAGGAAACAGCACCTGAAGAAGAAGAACCAGCCCCTGAGGAAGAATTAGCACCTGATGAACCACCACCTGAAGAAGAAGAACCAGCACCTGAAGAGGAACCAGCACTTGAGGAGGAACCACCACCTGAGGATGAACCAGCACCTGAAGAAGAACCAGCACCTGAAGAAGAAGAGCCAGCACCTGAAGAAGAACCAGCACCTGAAGAAGAAGAGCCAGCACCTGAAGAAGAAGAGCCAGCACCTGAAGAGGAACCAGCACCTGAAGAGGAACCAGCACCTGAGGAACCACCACCTGAAGAGGAACCACCACCTGAAGAGGAACCAGCACCTGAAGAGGAACCATCACCTGAGGAACCAGCACCTGAAGGGGAACCAGCATCTGAGGAACCAGCACCTGAAGAGGAACCAGTACCTGAAGAGGAACCAGCACCTGAAGAGGAACCATCACCTGAGGAACCAGCACCTGAAGAGGAACCAGCACCTGAGGAACCCCCACCTGAAGAAGAACCAGCACCTGAAGAGGAACCAGCACCTGAGGAGGAGGAGGAACCATCACCTGAGGAACCAGCACCACCTAAAGAAGAACCAGCACCTGAAGAAGTACCAGCACCTGAAGAGGAACCAGTCCCTGAGGAAGAACCAACCCCTGATGAACCAGCACCTGAAGAGGATGCAGCAGCTGAAGAAGAACCAGCACCTGAGGAAGAATCATCACCTGAAGAACCAGAACCTGCACCTGAAGAAGAAGCACCACCTGAGGAGGAACCATCACCTGAACAACCAGATGAGGAACCAGAACCTGCACCTGCTGCTGAGAATGCACCTGATGATGAAGATGAGAAGGAACCAGCTGCTGAAGAATAAGATACAGTTCTGGAATAAAAACCAGCTTCATTCAGAATATGCTGCATCATCATATAGTAGCAGAAACATGATTTCTGCATGCTAGATAATGTGCAGAGTATACATGCTGGTCTGATCAGTAGAATCTAATTGAAGTATGATTCCATCCAGACCAGAAGCTTATTTGTATACAAG